GTTTTTCATATAAAGCCTTCATGATATTGAGGTAGGGTCTTTCTATCCCCAATTCTTTAGTGTTTTTATCATGATTGGGTGCTGAATTTTGTCAAAGACTTCCTCTGTATCTGTTGAGATGACTAAGTAATTTTTGTCAGTATTTGTCTTTATGTGATAAATATATCAATTTGCATGTGTAAAGCAGTCCTTGCAACCCTGAGCTAAAACCAATTTGATCATGATGTACAGTCTTCTTAATACGTTGAATATAATTTGTTACTACTTTTAAAGGATTTGCATCTAAGTTTGTCAGGGATATTGGTCTGTAGTTTTCTTTCCTTGATATGTCCTTATCTGATTTCGGTATGTGTATGATTATGACTTCATAGGGTGAATTTGGAAATATTCCACCCCTTTCTGTTTCATGGAATAATTTGGGGGAGCATTTGCATTAGTTCTTTTGTAAAGGTTTAGTAGAATTCAGCTGAGCATCCATTTGGTCCTGGGCTTTTCTTTGTTGGAAGGCCTTTTGTTACAGCTTCTTTCTCATTGCTAGGTTTTCTATGTCTTTATGATTCAATTTTGGGAGGTCACATGTGTCTAGGAATGTACCCATTTCTTCTAGATTTTGTTACTAAAATACATGTTTTCAAAATGATCCTCAGGATTTCTATGATGTTTGTAGTGATTTCTCCTTTCTCATCTCTAATGTCGTTCATTTGAGGTTATCTCTCTTTTTATTTGGTTAGTTTGGCTAAGGGCTTATCAATCTTGTTTATCTTTTCAAAGACCAACTGTTTTTGATCCTTTGTATTTTCTTTTTAAATTCTCAGTTTCATTGATTTTGGTTCTGATCTTAATTATTTCTTTCCTTCTACTGGTTTTGGAATTTGTTTGTTCTTGTTTTTCAAGGACCTGGAGATGCATCATTGTGTTATTTATTTGGGATCTTTCTGATTTTCTTATGTAGGCACTCATAGCCATAAGCTTTCCTAATAGAATCACCTTGTTATTATTTCAGAGGTTTGAGCCAAACAATTTTGAAATTCCTCCCCTTATTTCTTCTATCACCCAATCATTATTCAAAACTGTATTGTTCAATTTCCATGTGTTTATGTAGTTTCTGTGGGTTTTTTTCCTGATTTATAATGTGATTCCTTTATGATCCAATAAGATGCAAGGAATATCAATCTTTTGTATTTGCTAAGAGTTGCTTTGTGGGCTAAAATATGGTCTATTGTGGAGAAGGATCCATAAGCCACTGAGAAGAAAGTGTATTTGGCTCTTGTTGGATTAAATAGTCTATAAATGTCTGTTAAGCCTATTTAATTTATAAAATTTTTCAGGTCCAAACAGTCTTCACTGAGTTTATGCTGAGATGAGCCACCTATTGGTGATTACTCAGTATTACTGTTCCTGGGGTCTATCCGAAGCGTAAGTGGAGCAGTGTCTGTTCACGTCATTAGGTATGCCAACATTTGGCTGGAACACTTACTATGAACATGTCTTCCTGTTGCATTGTTTCCCCTACCAGTGTGCAGGGCCTTCTTTGTCTCTTTGGTTACCTTTGGCTTGGTATCTGCTTTCTCCAGATAAGAAAGCGGCTTACTCCTGTCTCCAGGCTCCACTCCCCTGGTACAGCAGTTTCCATCCTTGCACTTTCAACTTGTGTCTGTCTTTGCCTGTGAGGTGAGACTCTTACAAACAAAATATTGTGTTTTCTTTAACCATTCTGCCAGCCTCTGTCTTTTAATTAGAGAGTTGAAAGCATTTATATTGAATGTATTATAGAGGGATCTTTATTAATTCTTGCATTTAAATTTATTTCTCATGTTTAACTTAGCCCTGATTCCCATCTGCTTAGCTTCTCTTCAAGTAAGCTTTGTTCATTTGTGAGTTGTGACATTTGTTTTTTATGTATCGTGCGTGTAATATTTAAATATTTTCTGCAATGCTGGCTTAGTAGTCATGAATTGTTTTAGTTTCTGCTTAACTTGGAAGGTTTTTAATCTCTTCCTTAAAAGAAGAGATAGAAATCTTGGTTGGCAGTCATTTTCTTTCAGGATTTGGAACACATCATTCCAAGCCCAACTTGCTTTTAGAATTTGTACTGAGAAATCAAAATTCTGCTTGGCTTGCCTCTAAATGTGACTTGATATTATTCTCTTGAGACTTTTAAAATCCTATCCTTTTTTTCCTATATGTTGGGCATTTTAATTATAAGGTGTTGTGGACATATTTCTCTTTGGTCCTGACTGTTTGGGGTTATAAATGTCTCCTGCATCTGGATGACCATCTCATCCTCAAGGTTTGGAAAATTTTCTATCATTCTTTTCCTAAAGAGTTTATGCATTTTAGTGGCCTGCATATCACAACCTTCTTCAATTCCCATGATTCTTAAATATGGTATCTTACTGTTGTCCCTTCAGTGTTTTTCTGATTTTCTTGGAGTCTATTGATCATCTTATAATAATTCTTTTTAATTATTTCTATGATATTCATCCACTTCAATATCTTTGGAGCAGCGGCTGGTGAATTGTGACCTTAGGAGGTGTTGTGTTATTTGTTTCTCCTATTTCTTGTATTCCTGTGCTGTGTTCATGCATCTGTTGGGTGGTTCCTCTTCCACTCCTCTGTGTGGGTCTACAGAGCACAGTCTTCACTTGCCAATGTCCTAGAATGATCTAGTCGGAGACCCCCATAGGTGTGGCAACCACAGTTTTGACAATTCCCTTCACGGGCCGTCGCAGTGGATGTCTATAAGTGGAACCCAAGGGCCCACCCCCAGTTATTCCTACTTCAGACCTGGTTGTTAGTTTGGGTTTTTGTCTCTTTTTTTCTTTTTACCAAGTAGAGCTGAAGTTTAAAGATCATTACTTTGTGTGTGGAGGAAGGTGCACTCTCTCTCATCTGGGTTTAGTTCAGCAGCAGTCTCTCCTCCTTGTGAACTTGTGGTGTCCCTGCAGATTCCCAGCACCTCACAGAATAGGGAGGAAACAAATAATAGCCACAAACAATGCAAGAAGTATACAGCATTAAAATAAATGCACAGTCCTTACTATGATACCCACACACTAATTAACAAGAGACAGGAAAGGTGGGGTCAACAATTGCCAATAGCAAGAAGTCAATAACCATGCTCTAGATGAGCACTACACAGCAGTTGCCAGCTATGTGGTTCATGCTGGGAGAGCTGCAGCAGCATGAATGGGGCAGGTGTTATGCAGACCAAATGTTCAAAAAGGTGCTGAAACTACAGCTCATTGTAAAAGAATAGGATAGAAAGGTAGGAGAAAGTTTAGAATGCTCAAACTGAACAGAAAGAATGCACAAGAGAAGTATCCAGCAATGGTTATAAGAAGGAGGAGAAAAAACAGAGAACAAAAAGTCAATGGAAAGAGAGAGCAAGAGAAATTGGCTGTTAGTGGGAAAAGAAAGCAGGGGAAGAGAAACAAAACAAAACAAAGGAAAACCAAAATAAACAAGCAAAACTTTTAACCCTGAAGAGACAACATGGGGAAAAAGGACTGTCATAAAAATTCTAAAAATGAGAAAAGGGAAACAAATATGTAGGTGTATAGACCCAGAAACCAATCAGCACAGCAAGAACAATAACAAAAAAGGGAAGAAAGAAAGAAAAAGAAAAAAAAGGAAGAAGGAAAAAGAAAAAAGGAAGAAGGAAAAAGATTCTTCATGAAAGTGAAAAACATTGGCTCCACTTGGCTGCACTGAGGTGGTCCAAACCGTCGTCATCCCAGTGGCTCAGGAGGCTGAGGCAGGAGGATGCAAGTTCAAGGCCAGCCTCAGCAACTAAGTGGGACCTTGTCTCAAAATAAAAAGGGCTGGGCATGTGGCTCAGTGGTTAGGTGCCTCTGGGTTCAATCCCCAGTACTGGGGAAAAAAAAATGTGGAAATTTGCTGCATATGCCTGAGTGTCTTCTCCAGTTTTCTTGAGCTATGTACTGGGTCTGGGGTGGGGGTGGGGGCTTGGACTGGTGACCTCTTCCTCTTTCTGTCACTTACTGAGCTGCAGCTAGAGGGGCCTGAAAGTGAGGCTGATTAGAACAGCTCTGAGCCTCCCTTCTTACCACGATAAGGTGGGATGGGGTGGGAAGGGTTGTCAGCTGGAGTCTTTTGCACAGACCAGATCCATGTACTGCAGGGTGGGCTGCGGCAGAGTCCCAGGAGGGGGTTCCAGCAGCTGGGGCTTGGGGACACTCAGGCCCTGAGGGCTGTGCTGGGTGGAGGCTGCTCTGGAGAGATGAGATCAATGCACCCTGGCTCCGGGCAGAGGCTGATCTCTGCTGGGGGTCTGCACCTCAGGAGCCTCCCAGGAGGAGGACTCCTCTCCACACATCTGGAGTGCACAGCAGGGCACGTCCCTCTACGCCACCACAAGGGGGTGCTGAGGCTCCACTACAGAGGTAGGACCACATCCTCAGCCCTCGGCTACAGGACTCACCCCAAGGGCCTCTCTCCTCCCCGAAGCAGGGGTTGGGATGGCACATCCCCACCCTCTGCTCCATAGTGGTTTACCTGGGACCCGCCTCTCTGAAGCCATCTAGGGCTCACCAAGATTGTCCTTGTCAGCAGAAACTCAGATTAGTTGGAGGGGGCTTCGTGTGAATAACAGAAGAAACCCCTGAGACCCTCCCCACAAGAAAGTTAGTAGGTGTTAAGGAGATCACGCTGGGATGAGGGACAAGAAAAATATGTGGTTCTTATAAAACCCCAAAGCATTGGAGGTAAAAATGTAAGTACACCTGTGGACTGACAAAGCCAGACTTCAAACTCAGGTCACGCCCCAGAGCTCGGCAACCACCTAGCCTTTATTAGGTTATCAATGTCCACTCACTGAATCACTGAAAGCACCCTCAAAGGCAGACATAATTACAAACAATGAACAGTGCAGCAGTAACGACACAGATGTGAAACACTGGTGCATATCAATGTCCACAGGACAGGATGCCAGTCATCACACACATACACAGAGCATATGTAACTCTTCAGGGTCACGATCAGCACACTCCCGGCAGGGCTCCAGCGCAGAATCTGAGCGCATTCTTTACGTCCCTGTTCCTCAGAGTGTAGATGAGGGGGTTCAGCATGGGGGTGGCCACGGTGTAGAAGAGAGCTATGAACTTGCCCTGCTCGTGGGAGCTGCTCTTGGCTGGCTGCAGGTACATAAAGAGGATGCTCCCATAGAACAAGGACACAACAGCCAGGTGGGAGGAGCAGGTGCTGAATGCTCTTCTCCGCCCTTCTGCTGACCGGATCTTCAACACAGCCTGGGCAATGTGTCCGTAGGACACCAGGATAAGGCCCAGAGGTAAGACCACAAAGATGAAGCTAGCAACGTACATCTCAACTTCGTTGAGCCTGGTGTCCACACAGGCCAGTTGCATAATGAGAGGCATCTCACAAAAGAAGTGGTCGATGCGATTGTGCCCACAAAGAGGCAGGAGCATGGTGAGCGTGGAGCCGACCATGCTGGTGGTCAGGCCCCCAAACCAGGAGGCAAAGGCCAGGCCAAGGCAAAGCTGTGGGTGCATGATGACAGTGTAGTGGAGGGGCTTACAGATGGCAGCATAGCGGTCATAGGACATGACGGCCAGGAGGACACACTCGGTGGCCCCCAGCCAGTGGGACACATAGAACTGCACCACGCACCCGCCATAGCTTATGGTTTTCTGTGGTCCCCAGAGGTTGACCAACAGTTGTGGGACAATGCTTGTGGTGAAGCTGATGTCCAGGAAGGACAGGTTGGCAAGAAAGAAGTACATGGGCGTGTGGAGGTGCACGTCCACATGGGTGACCAGGATGATGGTGGCATTGCCCAGGATAGACACGACATAGCACACCAAGACCACCATGAAGAGGATGGGCTCCAGTGAGGGGCGAGCAGAGAAGCCCAGGAGCACAAACATGGCAGGAGAACTTCCATTGGTCATTTCCAGCCTCTGATGCCCAGAGGGTGGGGCCAAAAGGCCACCCATGCTGGGGGCACAGGACATGATGCAGGAAGCCATCTCACCACTTAGGAGCCATGGACCATGAGCTTGCTCCCCGAGCTCTCAGAATGCTCCTGGATGGCCTTGCGTGGTCTTCCTGAGGCAGAGTGTCCGAGTGAGAGGCCTGGACAGGCACGGCCCAGGGAGATGTGGAGGTTCATGTATGACATTAGCACCTGGTCCAGTGGAAAGTCACTTGTGCCAGCAGCATCTGGCCTGTACCTGAGTGTGCAGTGACATGGGGATGCAGCACTGGGCAGAGGGTGGTGTTCCATGTGACGAACCGCAGGGCAGGAGTCAAATCAGAGTCCTGCCAATCACACAACCAGCTTTGTCCATGACATCTCCAGACTCACCCCTCCTTGCCACCTAGGGTCCCGCCACCCGGCCATCCTGCGGCCATTTTCCACCTGAGGTTTGATTTGATACCCTAACTTGTCTCCGTGCTTCCTTTCCAAGTTTTCCCTCAAAACCAAGCAGGACACTAAGATGTGCTAGGACCACAGGACCTGTGCCCACCCCAGGGCCTTGGTGCAGAGATGGCCCCTGCTCCATGCTCTGTAGCAGCCAGCCTCCCGGACTTTCACCCAGTCCATCATGGCATTTTCAATGGTGGCCTGTAATGCGGGCCCTCCTCACTGCCCTCTCCACCTCTCCTCGCCTGCCCTCAGCCTTGGTGGCTACCACCCTCGGCCAGCTGCTCTGCCAGTACAATGGACCCTGTCTCACTCATAGACTACCAATTCCCTGTGGGCTCAGTCCTTTGGTCTGTTTGCTTCTGGGTCCCCAGAGTCTGCCAGGGTCTGATGCAGAGTCACTTCATGTGTCTTTGTGGATGTGCCCTAATGGGGGGTCAGATGGCCTGTGGTCAGGGCAGTGCAGACCTGGAGTTGAGGGGCTGCTAGCACAACCTCACTGGGGTTGGCAGGAAAGGTGTCTTGGGACTGCCAGTGGCTTGCGGAGAGGCCCAGAACATGCTCAGCCACGTCTGAGCACCTGTTCACCTTGGTAACAGCTGGCTCTGAAGGTCACCACCTGCAGTTCCAGGATGCAGAGTGGCACTCACCAGCCCTGTGTCTGGGCATGGTCAGGGGGGCAGGAACAGCATGTTCACTGAGTGCTTTACCTGGAAACTCAGGGCTATGCAATACCTGCAGGTAGACCTGGGAGGGGAGAGCAGGGACATGTCACCAGGGCTGGAGAGCAGCCTGCCGGGAGGACCGGGTAGAGGGCCATCCACGGCACCACTGGTGTTTGGCAGGAGGGTCAGGTTCTGTCCCAGCATGTGAGTTCAGTTGACCACAGTGCCCTGTGTCCCTCCCAGAAGAGAGCAGTGTGAAGGGACTCCCTGAGGAAGCAGCAGAGGCCACAGTGATGCTGTGCTAGTGACCCTAAGGCCATGTCCACCCAGAGAGCACCCGAATCCCAGCTCCCAGGAGCCTCCTAAACACGCACAGAGAGTGTGCACCAATCAGTTAAAGTACACACAGGGACTCCTTGGCACAGGTAGAAATGGGACTCAGAGAGCACCAGGCATTTCCCCTGGGAGACTGTCAGAGAGGAGTCGTGCCGAGACAGGGTCTGCTCTGCAGACAGCCGGCCAGCAGTGTGCTGGACCCTGGAGAGGGCGTTTGAGGAATGCATCCCCACCTCCTGCATGTCACAGGCAGCTGAGGCCCTCAGAGCATGGCTGGCTTCATACCTGGGACGTGGGGATGGGGGAGCCTGGCTAGTTTTCTGCCACTGCGTCATGCAGGAGTCCCAGTGATGGGTCCTTGCAGGGAGGCCCCACAGCTGACCTGAAAAGCAGAAGGCTGTTTGTCACCTGCCCTGTCACTTGTGGGAGGAAGTGTCCCCCCTGTGGACAGAGAGAAACGATGCTGACTCATAGCTGACACCCTGGCAAATGCAGAAATGTCACCAAGAGATGGACGCCAACGGGTGCCTGTGATGGGACAGTCTGGCCGACTCTTGGAGGCCCAGCAACCCTCCTGATGCTCTGAGCTGGTTCCAGCAACGTCCAGAGGCATCCACAGCCTGAGCTCCTGGTGACCCTGGAGCTAGCCCAAAGGCCCCAGCCCCAGCAGAGGAAGAGGTGGCCCCTCCCAAGGTGACAACCACACTCTCACCTCAGCACTGGAGATGTCCTCCTGCAGAAATAAGCCAGGCGCAGAGTGGAGGTCCCCGTGTTCTCTCCTGTGTGGAAGAAGGGAGACAGAAGGGGAGGGGCCACCCATGGAAACAGGGAGCTGGAGGAGCAAGGAAGGGGCTGGGGGGAGGGGAGCAGCTGCAGCCTGGAGTTGGCCCAGGGATGCTCTGTGCGCCCTGAGCACAGCCAGGGACCCAGCTGAGGCACACACAGCCCAGTCAGAAACCCTGAGTCAGTGGAGGAAGACCAGCAGGGCAGGGGGAAGGTGAGGGAGCGAGGGGCACTGGCACTGAAGGCAGCCAGTTCTGTCCCACACGGGTACGATCCTGTCACAGTGAACCCTGCTGCCACGTTCGGCTCCAGTCCCCAGTGACACAGTCAGCACCCTCACTCTGCACCTCACCAGCTTCCCTCCTCCATGCCATGTCATCAGAGAGTGGTGGCCCAGTGACCCTGAGAAGAGCCACGAGTCCACATTGACCTGAGCTCACCATGTAGCTCCATGTGCCCCCAGCGTGTGGACGACAGCTAAACACCCCGGCCATGGAGGAGGAAGGCAGAGCATTTCAGTGATCCGTGCCCCTCATCCTGCACTGGACTTACCAGGAAGCCTGAGACCCAGTCCCCTTGTCCCCCACGAGGGAGGAGCAAACCCAAGGTCACTTGGGAAGGTGAGCCAGCAGCCACCTTCTGCTTCTTGCAGGGGACATGGAGGAAGGGGGACAACCTTGGGAACTGGTAATGCCCATGCATTCAGAGCATGTGGGATCCGGAGGGGGCAGATCAGCCCTGGGACCTCACCATCCCAGCTCTGGGAAGCCAGCTCAGCGGGGCACTGTGCCCGGCTCTGCCCAGCGCACGTCCAAGGACACCTTCTTAAGTCTTAGATCAGTTGCCTTGGAACTGAAAACACACCCCAGCTTTGCTGAGAAGAGAATAGCCCATGGAGGGAGGACGGCCCGCCATGCTCCAGAGGGGAAACACAGGGGACCCCAGGGACAAACTGATGCACAGCCCTGCATGTCCTGAGCCCCCTGCTCATCCCTGGAGCTTTCAAGAGGAGAGGAGGGTGCAGGGGTGCACCAGGGAGTGGAGGGCAGGAGAGACACTCGGGGACTGTTCCCTGTGGACAGTTACACTCTCTGCAGTGAGGGCACAGGTGTGCTTCTTTTGTGAACACTGGGGTTTGTTTTTGTCTGCCCGCACTGGAGCATTGCTTGCAGAGCCAGGAATGAGTCTGCACGCGGGGACGTGAGAGGTGTTGGGGGGAGTCTGACATAGTTGTCTCTTACACTGATTTGGCAGAGGCTGTAGTAGACTTTTTTTCTTTATTAGTCATTTTATTATTTGTCTACCCCTGCTTATGAGATAGAATTTTCCATGCTAGTTATTGTATTGTAATAATATACACCTGAGATGAAGACATTTTAAAGTGTAGCAGTAGGTCAGTTCAAAATAGTGTACAACCCTCAGTGCTATGTCGTTCCAGACCCTTTTATTACTGCAAACAGAAAACCTCTACCTGTTGGTGCCTCCCCTGCCTCTGCCAAGCCCCCAGCCCCTCGCAACTAGGGATCTTCTTTCTGTTTGTATGGATTTGCCTCATGTGGATCCCATGTTAACAGAATCATGAAATACGCGGCCCTACTGTGCTACTTCTTCCACTTGGAGGAAGTGTTCAGGGTGGCGTGTGCTGCGTGTGCCAGTAACCCGTTCTCCTTGCAGGGGATTCCTGTCATCTGCCCTGCCTCCTTGGCTTGTTCATCTGAGGATGGTGTTTGTGTCCACCGCGTGGTGACTGTGAGGGTGTCCTCCCTTTGTGGCTACAGAGAATAAACACACTGTGCACATTCACCTGCACGTGTTGTTTGCCTTTCTTCTCAGGCACCTGGGAGTGGAACTGCAGGTCTTATGCATTCTTTGATGACCTTACGTGCCCCTCCTGGCTTTCCACAGCGTGGGATTCTACCCTCCTGTAAGGAGGTCTGTCCCCTGTGTTCCACACCATGACCAGCACTGACTGTTTCCTTCCCTCCTTCCTTTCTTCGTGCCTGTTGAAAAGTCTCTACCACTCAGCCACATCCTGAGACCTCTTCATTTGAGACAGCATCTCAATAAGAAGCCCAGCTGGCCTTGACTTTGTGATAATTCTGCTGAGCCCCCTGTAGCTGTGATTACAGGAATGAGCCGTCTGTCTACCTGCCTCTGTCCCTCTCTCTTTTCTTAAATAACCGTTGTAATGGGAACGATATCTCTTTTAGTTTTTTTTAAATTTTTTATTTGTTTTAATTAGTTATTCATGACAGTAGAATGCATTTATGTTCTTTGATATATCACATGCAGATGGCAGGTACCTTCTCATTTTTCTGAGTGTACGTGTTCATTTTCCTAATGACTAATCATATTGTATATTTGGAAATGTGTTTGTTGGTCTCTTGCTTATTTTCTTTGGGGAAATGTCTATTTAAGTCTTTTTGCCCATTTTTTTCCTTGGTGTGTTTTTCTGTTGTTGAGACATAAGAGTTCTCATGTATGGTGGCTGCCAGACCCTTTGGAGGTGTCTGATTTGACAGTACCGTCTCTCCCTCGCTTAGCCTTTTCCTTTTTGGACACCAGTCCCAAATTTTGCACTTCACCTGTTTCTTGTGTTGCTTGTGGCTTTGGTGTCATGTTTAAGACACTGTTGCACAACCAGGGTCCTGTGGCCTTGCTGCTATTTTCTTCTGAGGGTCTTCCACTTTAGGCTCTCACCTAGGCCTCGGGTGTCTTGGATGTCATCATACGTGATGTG